GGAGACTTGAGCTGCCCCCAGCATGCCGTCCCAGGGCAGCACCTGGCCCCACTCCCTCCTTGCAGGTGCAGCGGGTCCTCTGCGCACCACTAACCCAGCTGTCTTCTTTCATCACAGGGGTTAGGCCCCGGCTCAGCGGTCCCAGGCAGCTCCGGCGTCGGAACCCCCCGACAGTTCACGCGACAAAGGATCACGCGGGTCAACCTCAGGGACCTCATATTTTGCTTAGAAAATGAGCGTGAGACAAGCCATTCACTGTTGCTCTACAAAGCATTCCTTAAGTAGCACAGGGCGTGGCATCTTTGATGGAGACGCCTGGGGACGTTTTTATATATTTGCAGATTACGCCTTTTTGTAACAAGCAAATGGGATATTGTTTAAAAAACAGCCACCTCTTTACAATGGAGCAGTTTTATATTCCTGTTTCTAAGTCAACTCTTCAGTGCGGAAGAAAACGCGTTTCTGTAACAGAGAACACAGGGGCCTGTGGGCACTCTTAAAGGACAATTAAATCTTAACTCATCTTTGATTGAGTGGCCTTCTTGCCAAACAAGCCATATATAAAAACTGATGGAATCGTTTAGCAAATAATTAGCTGCCCTCTGTCGCCTCCTAGCGGTTTCTACATTATTTGCGCATTTGGTTTAAGTTCAACCCAACTTACTTGCATAGGTGTGTCTCTCCAGCAGTGACCTCATTTCATTTATTTTATTTTTGTATTAGTCAGTTGGCAAAGCAAACTGATTTTTTTAGACTATTTATCTTCTTCCCTGTCCCCTGCCCTCCGTTCAGAGTTCTCGATGGGGCACACAGCTGGCCTCGGAGTTAAATCACTTTTCTGCGTGGGAGGGCCCCGCCGCGGGGCTCCTCCTGAATGTCTGTCTCCATCTGTACACGTGCATTTTATTTGCTGTAGTTTGTAAAGCTGTAAAGTTACAAGAAATGAAAACCTTTTCAGCATAAATCTATTTTACTTGCACTGTGTTTTTTAGCTAAAAGTGAAAACTTAGATGAAATAAAATCAAAGTTGAGAAGAATCATCAAAAGACTGTTTCTCAGTGTGAATCAAGTGTTGAAAAATGGTTGGTGTATTTTGTCAGTAATTGTACATAATTTTTGGCACATAACATAAAAATGGCTATGTAAACTATAATTATTTTGCTAAGAGACTGTATGCAAGCTGTGGGCCAACTTTACAGATGTCCAGAGCAAAGCCCCTTCTTTGTACCTATTTTTTTATTACAAATATACTAATTGGTTCTTTATATTTTCAGAGGTTATTGTATTAAATTGTCTATTGATAGTACTTTTACGACTGTAAATATCTGGCTCTCCCCGTGTGAGTTGCTCTCGTTAGACTCGAATTCGGGTGAGTCAACTGAATGCTGAGCAGTATTTTTTATCAACACCTGAAAACTGTTACACCTTTTATTTTGTCTTTTAGGAAATCCCTGTCTTTCCATTTTTTCATGTAAATTTTGCACAGTTACTTGTTCATATGTAAATATTTTACTTTCAGAAATGAAGTTTTTAATTGCTATTGTTTTATATAGGATTGAAAGAAAATTAACTCCTTTATTAAAAACAAATTTATCTGTATTTGTTTTGCCTGTTTTTCCCAGTTTTCTAGTTGTAGTTTCTGCTGCCAGGGGCTCAGCTCTGGCTCTGCGCAGGTGTTTGGTTATGAGCCACTTGTTAGAGTCAGTGTCCAGGTCCAGCGGGTCCGGTAGAAATGGCTTCCCCTCCACGGACAGACTCCACGCCACGAATGAGACCAGGTGCACGTCCTGTCTGAGCGCCAGAGCCGAGCTGTTGCCTTGTGTGCTCTCATGACCAGGGCCACCGCCTGCCCTGTGCTGCTGGGGCTGCCCGCCTGGGGCACAGACAGACTGGTGCTCTGTGGAGGCCCGGGCTCCTGTGTGTGCAGATGAGCTGGGTCACAGCAGGGTGAGGCCAGGTAAGGCCCCAGGTTGGCCCTGGGGGTCCACACACACAAACACAGGCACCCTGGCAGGCGTGGCATGGAAGCTGGCACAGCCCTGGCCCTGATGTGGACCCACAGTGAAGGAGAAGAAGGAGAACGTGGGGCTTCTGGGGGCCTTGCCTCATCCATGTCCCTAGTGTGGCAGGCTGACTTCCATGAGCTGCCCCTCCCGAGAGCCACGTCAGCCGCTCAGAGCCTGAATTCACCCCCGCACGCCGCCTACCTTTCGAGCTCTGTAGCTGGCTGGCCCGTTCTCGGCCAGTTGAACTTGAGTTTGACTGGTTGGATGGGTCTCCAGCTGTCTATGGGTCACTGACAAGTCAGCCTGGAAAGCATTGCTCTCAGTGTGGCTTCTGGGCCCCCGAGCCAGGCACTGCAGACAGGGCCGCTTAACAGGCTTCTTGTCTTGGTCCTGGCGGCCAGGGTCTGAGGTGAGGGCTGGCAGGGTCGGTTCCCTTTGAGCTTCGCTAGGGAGAATGTGCTCTAGCTGCACCCCCTCCCCACCGACCTTAGGGTTTGCGATTTTGGATGTTTGCTCACCTTTATGTGGCATTTTCTCTGTGTGCATGTCTGCTTTTGTGTCTAAATTTCACCTTTTTGTAGGATACCAGTCCTATTGGATTAGGGCCCAACCAGTGACCTCATTTTGACGTCTCGACTCTGAAGACCCAAGTGGAAAAATACGCCCTCTTTGTGGGGTGGACTCAATGCTGTGAAGATGGCAGTTCTGCCCGAACTGACTCTGTGCTGTCCCACCCCATGGCCCTGTGGGATCGCCATAGAGGCTGACGGTCTGATTGCAGACGTTTATATGAAACTGCAGAGGACTTAGAATAGCCAAAACAATCTAGAATGAAATTGGAGTATTTACACCCCCAGATTTCAAGACTTACTGTAAATCCACAGTGATCAGGACCTCATGGCATCGGCCTGAGGATGGACATGGCCAGGGAACAGGATAGAGTCCAGAAATCATCTGTTTGTCGTGGCCACCAGATTTTTGGACAAGGACATTAGTACAGTGAAGAAAGGAAGGTTCTGGTGTATCTGGGTGCCCTATGTGAGGAAGTGAACCGTGACCCTTTCTTCACATTACACACAGGTTAACTTGAGATAGATTCTAGGCCTGAAAATGGGCGCTAAAAATAAAAAGCTTCTACAAGAAAAATTAGAGATCTTCATGGCCTCGGAATGGGCAGTAATTTCTCTAAGGACATAGAAGGCACAAACCATAAAGAAAAAATCAGCGAATTGGACTTCAAAGTAAGAACGTATGTGCATCAAAAGACATCCTTCTGGGAGCAGAAGGAGCAGCACAGACTTGGAGAAATACTTGCAGTGTACACCAGACAGGACGCCAAACACGTGAAGAATTCTCCCTAACACGTGCAAGACACTTCACAGGTGTTTTATAAGTAATTTCAAAGTGGCCGGCCAATAAGGAAATGAAAAGGTGCCCGTCCTTACTGGTCATCAGAAAAATGCAGCCTGAGCCATGGTGGGCTCGCACTGACGCCTCCACGTGGGCTCGTGCTGACTGGCAGCATTGAGTGGTGGGGGCCGTGCGGTGTCTGGAGCTCTCACATACCGCTGGCCAATGTGTGACATGGTGCAACAGTTTCACCCTTTGTAATAAACATACATGTACCCTCTGACCCAACAGGCCCTCCCTCCTGTGGATCCACTCAAGGGAAGTGGGTGCCCTTGCCACCCAAGAGGTGGCACAGAAATGTTCCCTGGGGCCATATTCATTGATGAAACAGAATGGAAATGACCCACGTGTCCATCGGGAGGTGATGGATACAAACTGCAGTTTGTGTTTTAACGGAATACCACCCGGTACAGAGGAACGAACTGCCCATGCCCTCGTGACGTGGAGAATCTTGGAGAGCTATGCTGACAGAAGGCGGGCACGTAGCTCTATGCCCTCTGGTCCCCCTGGCCCAAAAAGCAGGCAGAACCCGGGGTGACAGGAGTCCCAGTGGGGTCACCGGCCGGAGGGGCGCCAGGCCCCTCTGGGCTGATGGAGATGATCTGTCTTGATGGGGTAGTGGCCACACAGGCATGTTCAAATGTAAAATGTTAGGCTGATGGGTAAGATCGTGCATTTTGCCATATGTAAAGTGTACCTTGGCAAAGCTTGAGGGCAAGGCCGAAGCAACCCTGGGCCTAGTGACCTGGTGCCAAATGAGGGCAGGCACGTGGATGTCTCAGGTAGGTGACAGCTTGTGACCTTTCGTTGGAATTTTACTACTACAAATCTTGTGATTACCCACAGTCACTGCTTAACTAGTTAATTGTTAACTAGTTTCTATCAGACTGTGGTCTCTAAATGTACATTTTATTTAAAAAGAGAAAAAAAGAAACAAGAGTCCACCCAGCCTCCCCCAGCCCTGCCCTCCAGACACTGGCCTACTCCCTGCCCAGCCCTGCCCAGCCGTGGAGGCTGCAGGGCACCTGCGCACAGAGCCAGCACGTGTTCTCGCAATGCAGCTTACGCAGTCAGACCCCAATCCATAGGCAGCCTCTCTAGATCCTCCTGTCCTAGCGGCAGGCTGGCAGCCTCTCTTCTGGACTCTCTGGGCTGCACCCAGCGCATGCTCGCCCAGAAAGACCAGCCCAGGGGAACTTACCTAGTTTCCTTGAGAGACTTGCCAGGGAGACAGGTCACACTCCTAGTTTCAAACAAATCTAGTTGCCTGTTCAGGCTGCTTCATCAGGCTTCAAGTCCAAATTGTCAGAACTTCTGTATTTTTGAGAAAAATTGGCATGCAAGTATTTTTTTCCCCCTCTAAAATGTATTTATTTATTCAGCAAGGGCCAACGAGCACCTGTCACATGCAGGGTGCCTTTTCAGGGGCGGGAGGATGTGGGCAAGGCGCAGTCCCCAGAGGAGGTCAGACAGGGCTCAGGCTGGGAGAAATGGCCAGGAGCCCACCCCCAGGCCAGGCAGGGGGGGCGGGAGGCGGGAGCGGAGGGGGTCGAGTGGGGCTTTCTCCTGCTGGCGTGTCTGAGGAGGTGGGTATCAACCGCACGTGCTTGTCTGGAAGTGAAGGCGGAGCACCGTTAGCACGGCTCCGTGTGTGGGACCCTTGGCCTTGCGCATGCTGGGAGGAGGGGTGCGGGCCCTGGCGGCAAGGGGCGACCCGTGGGTCGTTCCTCCAGAAGTGGCATGTGCCCGCACCCTGCCAGTGCGCTCCTAGGTCCTAACCCAGGAACTGAGATTTGTCCGTGCAGAACATGTGCAGAAACATTCAGAGCCTCTTACAAAAGCTAAGAACTAGAAAATCCTGATTGTCTGGCTGCAGGTGAGTGGGGAGCCTGGCCTGTTCACACTGCAAACCACTGGGTGGTGGGCTGGGGTGGACCTTTGGGCCGCCCAGCCCCTCGGAGTCTGGGTGGTGAGGGGTGGAGGGGCCTGAGAACAGCCCTCACTTAGGGCAGGATGGGGAGGAGCCAGGTGGTCCAAGAACTGAAGTGGCCTTCCCGGGGCACTGGGAAGCTTCCTGGTGCTGGGAAGTCTGTGATTTTGGTGCTGGCAATGGTTTCATAGGTACATACAAGTGCCAAGACTTTTCAAATTGCACACTATGAATATGCACACAGTTTTACTGCACTGAAAAAAATCTCAGTAAAAATGCAAACATAAGTGAACAGGAATAAATAAAGCTATGTTCCGAGGTGGGGACTGGTTTGAGTGCAGGCACAGTCCTGGCGTTGACTGGATGTGAGGGGAGGGGAGGTGGAGCGGGACCCCAGTTCCAGCATTAGTGCAGGGCTGCCCAAGGGCTGTGGTGGGGAGTCCCACTGTGCTCTGCGAGTGGCGCCTATGGCTGGGGAGTGTGGCTGCAGAATCTCCTGGGGGTGCCATGGGGTGGGGTGGTAGGTGTGGCCAGGATACCAGAGAGGATGAGGAAAGCTGGGGGAGCTGCTGCCGGGAAGCCAAGGTCACGCAGCCAGCTAGGGGCATGGACAGGGCTGCCAGGGCCCCGCAGTTACTGGCTGGAGTGTCATGACCTTGGAGAAGGCTGGGTGGGAAGGGGCCGTGGGTGGGTTATGGGTGGGCTTCTTAATGGTGGGGTAGTGGAGCATGTTTGTGTCCCTGGGGATGGGTCTTGGAGATGGGGAGGTAGTCAGAGGTGGGTGGGGGTACAGGAGGGAATGGGAGGGGTGCGGCACTCCACAAGGGGAGCTCTACATGCTTGGGGGCAGGTGGGCAGTAGCTCACCCACCCAGGGCCAACTTGGCTCCCGCTCCTCAGGAACCTGGTTGAAATGGGCCACACAGAGGCCAAGAGCCCAGAGAGTCTAGATGGTGTTCTAGGAGCACCTAGATCCTGCTATGCCTGAAGACTCCGCACTGTGCCCTTTTTGGAGGTTTTGGGGCAGGGTGGTGACAGGAATTTCACCTGTTGATTCAACGAGGCCTGCAGACCCAGCCCAGCCCTGAGAACTGGCTCCCAGCATCTGGGGAAGGGCAGAAGCCCCCTGACACTGCAAACCGTGCCCTGGAAAGAGAGTCTGTCCGGGGACTCACAGCCATCCCCGGAAGTCCCTCTTTCCC